AGGGTGTCCCGAGATGGTCGAGTTCAGGTGACACAGCCCCAAGCTTCAGCCTCTGGGGTTTTCTCCATTTCCCTTCTTGTCAGCATGCACTTCTGGGTCTTCTTTCGGAGCTTTGCTAGTGAAACGGGGGTCATAAGCTCTCTTAGAGCTTTCCTGGTGGCTCAGACGGTAAAGAATTTGCCCACAATGCAGGAAACCCAGGTTCGATCCCTGGGTCAGGAAGATCTGTTGGAAAAGGAAACAGCAACCCACTACAGTATTCTAGCCTGCAGAATTCCCTGGACAGAGGAGCCTGGCGGGCTACAGTCCATGGGGTTGCAAAAAGTCAGACACGAATTGCGACTAATACGCACACAATCACTCTTACATCCACAGGGTGTTGTGAGGATTAATGGCAAGGAAAGTTAACATGTATGGATTTTGGATCTCCCAGGAGCCAGGCTCTCTACACTCCCAAACTTGTTCCTGCTTTTGTGAGATTCAACTGTAGCAAAGAAGAGAAATACTCACTGTCAAACCATAGAATTATTAGACACATAATCAGAAGGGGAAGTTATGAGCATGGGCTGGACAGACCGGTCAGAATCGGCTGATTTTAATCAGAGCTGCTGGAAACCCCTTCCAGCTCTGGAATCCTCTGCAGCACCAGGCAAGAAACCTTGAGTTGCTCAATTGTGTAGAAGTAGAGAGTAGGCAGGGGCAGTGGTCCAGGGACGGCCAACTTGGCCAGAGTGTGGCACCAGGGTCTCAGAGCTGTAGTTAATCATCAACAACTACAAAAGCAGTTCAGAATTTTAACTGGTATGGGTACAGTAGTGGGCCCAAGTTCACTGTCTAGGGTCGATGCTGAAAACGGGCACTGTGGAAGGACTTGAACTTGTCACAGAGGTTAAGAAGGGTTTCAGTGAGTAACAGACTCTTGTCTAGACCTGGAGGATAAATAGAGATTAGCCATCAAAGGGAAAAGAAACAGTTTTGAACACCAAGGAGATAGCATACACAAAGACTCAGAGGTGGAGAAGGTGTGATATATTCAGAGTCAAGGCAAGTGTGAAGTGAGTCACTCAGTCATGTCTGACTCTTTGTGACCCCATGGACTATATAGTCCATAGAATTCTCCAGTCCAGAGTACTGGAGTGGGTAGCCTTTCCCTTCTCCAGGGGATCTTCCCAACCCAGGGATCGAACCCAGGTCTCCTGCATTGCAGGCGGATTCTTTACCAGCTGAGCCCACGGAAGCCCATGGCAAGTGTGGTGACGCTAGAAGCAGAGAGAACAAGACAGAGATTGGGGTCACTCTGGGTCACGTAAAGGATTTGTGCTTTGACTTGACAGGCTCAAAAGAAAGCATCAAAGGGATTTAAGTAAAGGCATTGTACGATCCTCTGTGCATCCTGAAAGGTCACTCTGACTGAAGAGCCCAGCACAGCTTAAGCATTCCTATCATTATTATTTCCCCCTGTTTTCCACTGCCATTGCAAGCCCAAAGGTACAAATAGTTAAAGAACACACGGGTTCTGGCTTCCTGCCCTGCTGGGGAGGGAACTCAAACAAAGTTCCTGGACCTTCGGATTCAACCCAGCCAAGTCTGGGTTCAAGTCCTCAGAAGCAGACAGGCAGTGACAGCAAACCCATCCCCCTGGTTTGAGCAGTATTTTAAAGATATCAGTGTGACCACAACTGACTTCTTGGGATGGAGGTCCTAAAAATTGTCAGTTGAGGTGGTTAAGGTGGAAATGGAGCGGTCTTTAAAGATGTTGTGATTCTTCCTGCCTGCTGTGAAAATATCCAAACCCCCTCTTTCCTAACCAAATCCAAATATTTTCTTGTGCATCCGAACATAGAAACATCCCTCAGAGTGCAGGTGAGTCGTCGGGAAGACAAGCCTCAGAGTGGGCATTTGTTTGAGAACCACCTGCCCAAACAGCTCAGCTCACTTAATGACCCTGAAACTCAGTTTCTTCCTCTGTCATATTGGAATAAGGTCAGGATCCACCTCACAGCATTGTAATGGAGAGGAGTGTGTGAGCAGTACTTGGCCTTCGGTGCTTGCAGTACTTGGGCTCAGTATTGCAGTACTTGGGCTTCAGTGCTTGCAGTACTTGGGCTTTGGTGCTTGCAGTACTTGGGCTTCGGTGCTTGCAGTACTTTGGCTCAGTATTGCAGTACTTGGCCTTCGGTGCTTGCAGTACTTGGGCTCAGTATTGCAGTACTTGGGCTTCAGTGCTTGCAGTACTTGGGCTCAGTATTGCAGTACTTGGCCTTCGGTGCTTGCAGTACTTGGGCTTTGGTGCTTGCGGTACTTGGGCCCAGTATTGCAGTACTTGGGCTCAGTAGCCACAGAGCACGGTGCTAGAGCGCAGGCTCAGGAGCCGTGGTGCACGGGCTTTGCTGCCCCACGGCATGTGGGATCTTCCCAGACCCGCGACTGAACCGGTGTCCCCTGCATTGGCAGGCAGATTCGCCACCACTGGACCACCAGGGAAGGCCTATATGTGTTTATATATAAAAGTAAAACTGAATCGGTGTGCTGCCAACCTGAAACTAACAGCATATTATAAATCAGCTACACTTCAATTTTTAAAAAATAGTAGTTTGAAAACACACTTGCCTCTTCTGGTTAGCTATAGTTGCATAACAAATAACCACAAAAATCTCAATTTTTCTTGCAAAAATAAGTGTTCGTTTGACTCACAGGAAGTGTGGGTTGGCTAGAATGGGCCGACTGAGGCTGAGTGGCAGGAGGGGCCCTGCTGACCTTGTCTGTGCTCACTCACACCTTTGGGGTCACCTGAAGTGTCAGCTTGATTGCGCCGCTTGTCTGCCCTCCTCCTGGAAGATCTGTGGGCACGTCTGGTCATGAGCTTTTCATGGCCGTGGCAGAGACACACAAAAGCAGAGAGGAAGGCATGAGATATCTTAGGGCCTAGGCTTGAAACTGGTTGCCCTGTCCTTTTATTGACAAAGTAAGACGCATGGCTGAACAGAAAGTCAAGGGTCAGGAAAACGCACTCCCCTCTTTTAGTGGAGGGAACTGTAAAGTCACCGCAGGACAAAGCACATGATGAAGACAAAGGTAAAAAGTCAGAAGCGTTTATCTTGGGAGTTCAGAGACTGGCCTGGGGCCTGTGCAGCAGAAAGGCGGAGGACAGAGAACTTGAGCTTAACTTGAAGGATAAGTAAGGATTATAAGAAGGAAGAGACAGATGGTGGCATTCTTGGTGTGAAAGGTACATAGACAAGGATGGGGACTGGGTCGGGAGGGAAGAAGTAACTTAGGTCGTGGGAGATAAAGCATGAATACAAGACGACCAAAAGATTCAGGGCCTGAATGTCTGTCTGAATGTAGGTCTTTAACCTAGTGGGTGACAGTGAAGAGTTCTTAAGTAGACAGTGCCAAAGAGAAAGCACTCTGCTCTAGGACCTTGCTTCTCAAAGTGACATCCACAGACCAGCACACAGCATCTCCTGGGAGTGGTTCAGATGGCAGAGTCTCAGGGCCGTTCCCCAGAGCTGCTGAGCTGGAATCTCGTTTTCCCAGTATTTCCAGGTCATTCTGATGCGTGTTATAGTTTGAGAGACGCTACTCTAGAAGATCAATCTCAATGAATTAAAATGTACAGAGATCGCCGGCAGAGTGGGTGAGTAAGAGTTTTCTGCGATTTCTAGCATGAACCTCTGAGCATCTTATTTGTGGTGATAAGAGACACGTGAAGAGACAAACGTGGATGAAGAATCAACAAGACTCGGTGCCTGTGAAGACAGAGTAGGCGGAGCACAGGCCAGACGGGAGTTGGGTGACCGAGCTGAGACTGCTGGTACCAGGATGGAGGCGGGAAGGTCAGTGCGGGGGGCGGAGGGGCTGCCAGGAAGAGAAGGGGTGAGAAGGGACATTCCAGACATTCTTGAGTTTGAATGGTGTCACGGAAGATTGGGGCAGAAGGTTGAATGTGTCCCCCATGAGGGAAGGACCATTCTTAGGGTCTCCGTCTCATTTTCAGGGCCTGGAGCAATACCTGGCACAGAGTCAGCACTCAGAATATCCTTGTTAAATAAGTGTGTGTGTATGTGTGTGTATATATATATATAGCTGGGAGAGATTTGTACCAAGGCGGCAGCTGAAGCTCTTGGAAGCGGCCAGTTAGCCGAGATGGGCAGCGTGTAGCACGTGCCCTAGCCCAGCCTGAGGACCACCCATAGGCCAGCCCCTCAGCTTGTCAGACATGCCTTCTCCTGGGTCCCACCCAAGCCCCACCCATCCCCATCGTCTCGGTGAAATCTGAGTATTAACGAATCTGCCTCAGAGATTCCCAGGCTTTCTCAAGCTCCAGGACCCTGATTCTAAAGACAGAAAAATACAACGACAAGAAGACCTCAGATCCAAATGTGGACAGCGCCCACCACGAAGAGACCAGGAGTGGGGAGGGGAGGACGAGAAATGAACCGAAAGCAGAATTGGTTGAAAAAAGCCACAGTCCATCGGGAGCCCGTCAGGGCTCACATGCCTCGGTTTCCCCAGTCCATCCACGGTGGTGTTTATTTCACTCCCTGAGGATAAAGGTCTCCGCAGTTTGCTGCCTGGCACAGAATGCCCTGTTTCACTCTCTTCCGAGCACAGAAGGGAATGGCCCTTTCTGAAATGTGTTGGACACGCACTGATTAAGCTCCCAGTACAGACAAAGTCTTGCCCTGTGGCCAGGGGTATAGAGATTCCTAACAGACAGCCCCCTCCTGGAAGTCTTCGTTGCCAGGCAGGCTGAGAGGCGGTCAAAAGGAGGTGTGTGCAAGGGTGACTGGGTGCCCAGGAGGACTGCAGAAAGCCTCCTCGGGATCTGGGAGGGCTTCTCAGGGACAGTGGCACACAAGGAATAATCAGGAATCTGTCAAATGGGCAAGGTAGGCCCACATATTTCCAGGCAGAGGGAAGGCTCTGGGAAAGAGAACAGAGACCCCGAGGGCGGGACCTCGGGGGGGAGGGCTCCCCCACTCCTGTGCTTCCAGGGCCTCCCGCCTGCTCCGTGGAGGGCAGCACCCGCAGAGAGGGTGTGCACGGAGCAAGTCCCGGCACCCACCCTCTGACTCACTCTTGGCCCTCGGAGCGCCAGCCTGTGCCGAGAAGCCCGGAGCCGCTGGAGAAGCTGCTGGGAAGTGAGGCCCGGGCCGGGCCAGCCCGCTCCGCCCTCTCCTCCCCGCACCAAGGCTGGGCCAGGCGGCCGGGGAAAGGGAAGAGGCAGGCTGGCAGAGGCTGACGGGGGCCAGGGGACCACTGGTACGAAACGGGGAGGCCGCCTCTCGTGATGGAGGGACTTGGCGATCCTGAGGTGTGATGAGGGCAAAGCTGGCCGTCCACCCCGACCTCCCAATCTGTCACCCAGCCTCTCATCTGGAGTCTCCAGTCATCAAATGAGAATAAAGGAGATTGACTTACACAAGGTTCTTTGGGTTGACTGAAAGGTCTGGACCAGAGATCAGCAAAGTACTGCCCGGTGTCGCACCCGGCCACACTCACACTCACACTCACAAGCCACTGCATCAGAGACCTGTGGCCCACGGAGCCTGGAGGGTTTCTCATCCGGCCCTTTAGAGAGGACGTTTGTTGAGCCCTGGGCTGGTCTGATGTTGCTCCCGTTTCAGCATACCTGAGCATCTGAGAGGGAACCGATCTGAAACAGTTGGTCCATGGAGGGAGGAGCCTGGAGGGTAATAGTCCCCGGGGTTATGGGTTGCAGGCGGCCCAGGACTACACTTTGAGAAACTCTGGTGGGATTCTATCTCTGGGAAGGCAGGGGCCAAGGCTGGGCAGGCAGGCTTCTTCCTGAGGCCCCGAGGCAGGCCATGAGGCCTCTGCAGGATCCCTGCTCAGCTCCAGCCAAGGCGAGCACAGGAGCCCCCGGGGCCATGGCCCACCCTTGTTAGCTTGGGGCTATTAGGGCAGGAGACTTAAAATTAGTGGAGCTGCCTGTGGCCCCACCCCTCCCTTAAAGGCTTTTACCTGATTGAGCCAAGCCCTAGAGAGCCAGATACAGTAAGTCCCCTACACAGGAACCTTCAAGTCGCAGACTTTCAAAGATGCAAACGTGTTCGAAAGCATCTGGCACATGTTACCACGTGCATGTATCCTCTACAAGTGACTGTGCTTTGGGGTACTTCACTGTACAGTGCTATACGGAGTACAGTACCTTTATTCCAAGCCCAGGATGTCCAGAAGCGAATGTAAAAGCAGCAGTATATAGCCAATTGTGTACCAAGGCTGACCGTTGGAATGAGGGACGTATTGGACTGGGGCTTCCCTGATGGTCCGGTAGCTAGGACCTAACGCTCCCAGTGCAGGGGGCCTGGTTCCATTTGGGAGCTAGATCCCAAATGCCACAACTAAAGATCCTGCAACACCACACTGAAGGTTGAAGAGCCCGTGTGCCACAACCAAGACCCAGAGCAGCCAAATAATTTTTTTTTAATTGGACTTAGGAGCACACTCGTGGAACAGAACTCATTCGTATGTAGGGAACTTGCTGTAATTTCTTCTTGACTAGCTCAGTCATCAGCCTTGGGACCGTATTATATCTTCAGAAGCCCTTCACTTTTGACACATATTCTGTTGGCCAGGGGCAAGCTACCAGTTCTGCCTACACTCAAAAAAGGGGGGTTGATGACTGTGGGAATCAGGGGGGTCCTCCTTAGGATCTGTTCACCACAGGAGGGGAAGGTTTCCCATTGAAAGAGCTATTTCACTGAGACCTGATGGATGAATGTGACCCAATCAAGTGAAGCCCAGTGGGAACAGAGTTCTAGGAAGATGGAACAGCATGTGCAAGGACCCTGAGGAGGAATGGCAGTCTTGCACAGCTGAAGAGGTTCAGTTTGGCGAAATGATGTTTCTTATCCTTGGCTGTATATTACCTGGAGAACTCAAAAATGTGTTGCTTTTGAGAATTATTTAAACCAATACGATTCTGAAGTTCTCGACCTAGGGCCAGGCAACCATTTTGCTGGTTTGTTTGTTTTCCCTAAAACCTCCCTGGTTATTCCTGAGTGGGACAGGGGTTAGAGGTTGCCCAGAGGTAGGGAACAGAGAAGTCTATGAGAGCTCAGATCAAAAGTGTTCAGTGAAGAGAGGCCAGGAATAGCTCATTGCTGTTTTCATAATGGAGCTGTCATCCTAAGTGTCCATTTAAGGAAATCAGATCCATGGAATATAGAACTGTGGTGTTGGAGAAGACTCTTGAGAGTCCCTTGGACAGCAGTGAGATCAAACTAGCCAATCCTAAAGGAAATCAACCCTGAATGTTCATAGGAAGGACTGATGCTAAAGCTGAAGCTCCAATACTTTGGCCACCTGATGCAAAGAGCCAACTCATTGGAAAAGACCCTGATGCTGGGAAAGACTGAGGGCAGGAGGAGAAGGGGATGACAGCGGATGAGATGGTTGGATGGCATCACCGACTCAATGGGCGTAAGTTTGAGCAAACTCCAGGAGATAGTGAAGGACAGGGAAGCCTGGTGTGCTGCAGTCCATGGGGTTGCAAAGAGTCGGACATGACTGAGCAACTGAACAGTGATAGAAAACAGCATTTCTTTTGGACCAACAAAGTTAGACTTGAATTGGAGTCACACAGAGCAAGATTTGGCTCCAGTTGGCCAAAGTGCATCATGACCATGTCTCTTTTTAAAGTATCCAATCAAAGTGTAGTCAGGTTTTCTTTAAGTCCCCATTTGATCCAGGAGGGGCTTCCCTCATAGCTCAATCAGGAAAGAATCTGCCTGCAGTGCAGGAGACCTGGGTTCGATTCCTGGGTCGGGAAGATCCCCTGGAAAAGGAAATGGCAATCCATTTGAGTATTCTTGCCTGGAAAATCCCATGGACAGAGGAGCCTGGCAGGCTACAGTCCATGGGGTCTCAAGAGTCGGACATGACTTAGCGATGATTAGTGAGTGATTGATCGAGGAAGCTGTGCTGGAGATGAAAGATGTTCAGGCACCTTGAATGTGAGATTTTGACTTCATAGCAGTTAGCACGTACTGCTTTCCAGCCATGTGTCAAGTGATGCATCAGGCATAATTGTGTATCCTACTATGTTTGACACACACGATGGCACCACAAGGGCACAAAGAAGATGTCGTCAATTCCTACCTCACAGATGAAGAGAGGGAGCCTCACCAAATCCCTGGTAGCAGACAAGGTGGCAGACAGGAAAGTGCATAGACTTCAGAAATGGACAGAGTTGGCTCTTTGCAAACCCCGCCCCCTTTCTCCTGACCATTGTGAACGTGGGGAAGTTATTCAGCCCTTTTAAGCCCCACATCTCCACTCACTAAGTGGATAATTCTGGTACCAACCTTCCAGGGCGGATGGGGGACAAAAGCAGGCAGCCTTGCTCTGTCCTGGGAAGAACGGTTGCCTTCTGTCTTCTGCTTTTCTTCCAGCCGCCGGCAGGTAGCGAGGAGAAGACGCGGGGTCCCACTCCTGAAATCCCCGTACAGGGCACTTTGCTGTTAGTGAAGGGGAAACACGTTCTTTTTAGCAGTGCTATGAAAGAAGATCCCCACATAGGGAAAGAGAAGATGATTGCTGAGGTACCTCCAGGAAGTGGAAATGTGTTTTGTTTTTTCATCCTTAAGTGTCCCATTTAGAAATCAAGCAATCTCAAAGACTTCAGAGTGGAAAATGGCTGGATGTCCCCCTCCCCCATTTCTTTTCTAAGACTCACTTTTTCGCAGTGAACAGGAGAGAAGGATACCTCCTCCTAAGTGCTGTTGACAGGTCTCTACAGGGCAGTGTCTGAGCAGACCTGACTTGTCACACTGGCCAGCTCCTTGTCATCGCTTTATAAAGAGCTTCTATTACTACAAGGACCAAAGACAGAAGAGTGAGTCAAGAAACATGGTGCACGTTTTCTGCCGATTATTCACTGAGCGGCCACATCCACTGGAACTTACACCAACGACTGTTTGGATTTCCTTCTGTAGTCCCCCTCCGCGAGGTGAAACAGAGGGCGGCACTGGGTTCCGTGAATAACGGGAGCTCTGACATCTCTGACCACGGTGGCTTTCTAGCTCCTGTTCTGTAGGAGTCTATGCCCGCGGTCGCGTGGGCAGTACACTGGCTTCAGAAGCAGCCCCACCGCGGGGAGCCCATCACCCCTGCACTGTGAGGGTGGAAGGAGACATCCTGGGGGCAGGCCTCTTGCAGACACAATATTAAATGGTCCGTTCCGTCCAACCTGGACCACTTTCTGAGGTTATAAATCACCAACCCCCAGCCAAGAACAGCCAAGTGGTAACCCTCCTCGCCCCACCCCCGCCCCCACCAGTCTCAAAAGATCCAGTCCTGCAATTCAGCAGACCCCAGGCCTCCCCCATTACTTGGGCCGAGTTTGTAACTGTGACTTCCTCCTGTTGAGCCCAGTGCTATACTGGGAAAGTTATGTTTAAGAAAAGCAAAGAAGAAGAACCCCCCCTCGACTCCTAAGGGCTGTTTCTGAACGCATGTACGCTCTTCGAAGAGCAATGGAAAACAGCTGCAAACTTCTAGCTGCTTCTCGGAAAAGCAAGAGGGAGACCGTGATGCCTTCTCCCTGAAGTGGCTGGCGTCTCAGCGTTACTTCTGTTCCTGACAAGACAGGGCACGCAGCCCGCATTTCTCGTATCCCCACGTCGTCCACACTGCCAGCATAGGCTCCGAATACCTCAACTCAAGGAAAGCTGGGTGCACCCGGTGTTAGGGATGACTGCTCAAGGGTGTCTCCAGGCTCATCATAAACTTTTGTAGTGTCTCAGTAGAGCTGCAAAGAAGAAAAGCCTCAACAGTGTAAAATGTAAAATGCTTATGACAGGGTGGGAGAGCCTGTCTGATTCCAGGAAAAATTAAGATTCACAGTTAAATTTCAGGTTTTTTTTTTTTTAAGGAAAATGAAGGAAACGTTTTATTTGTTTCCTCATAGAACAGAAATGATTGCAAGCAAGATACAGGAGAAACTGGAAACTTGTTTTCCTTAGTATGCCAAGGCTAGGCAGGAAAGGAGAGAAAATCGAAAGAGAGAGACAGAGAAATAAGGGAGGGAAGAAGGGAGAAAGGGACGAAGGATGGATGGAGAGAGGGAAGGAAGAGCAAGGCAGATTTCGCCATCAGGCCCAGGACAGCTTGTGTCTTGGACTCACAATCCTTTCACTATTAATTGCTTAACTTTAATTTTTATTAAATTAATTTTAAGTTCCTTTAATTAATTTTAATTATCATTTCTTTTAAAAT